TATAGCGATCTGTCTGGGTTTTTTAATTTTTAATTTTCTTTAGGCTTAATTGAGTCTATATAATAAGTAAGATAGAGCCGGATAATGTTCTTGTCCTAATGTTAACATGGGACTTTTACAAGAATGACACTCAGTTCTGATGATGTCCAACAGTTGTTTATAAGAGTTCCCTTTGATTTATTACATCTGTTCTATAATCATAGCATAAAAGATTGTGATATGATATGATATAATGTAATATAATATAAAAGTTATATCATACTGTAGATACGAAGAGAAAGTTGGTTTCGATGAATCTCCTGAGATAACATTTTTAGGGGGACCTTCATTTTTTGAATGAAAGTGCATGAAAAAGATATTCGTTCCTGATTTAGTGTTAACGTGAGACCTTTACAAGAATGAGACCCGGCTCTGATGATGTCCAATAGTTGATGGACGAAAGCTCAACACGTTTTAACCCGAAGTCTCGTGGACTGCGTCAACATGAATATCGTATAAAATCCAACCATCTGCAGTACAACGAGATTCCTCCGTCCTCATCTGGTCAGATCGACCAACGAATCTCTTCTTCATGCACTTTCATTCGAAACGAAGATCCCCCTAACAATGTTATCTGAGGAGATTCATCGAAATCCAGTTTCTCTTCGTATCTAAAAAATTACGGCAACTATCAAAAAATCGAGTGTCCAGGTAACCGCAGAGGAAAAAGCAACATCTTTACACATGAGAGAGTGGACAACTTGGATTGTTCGAAAGTTTACTGCATAGTATGCGGCGCCTGCGAACAGGAATGAATTGGCGAAACAGACCAAAGGATGAGCATACGAGTCAAAGGCTCTGCGAGAAAATAGGTACTGCAAGATCGGATATAGCGGGATACATTACAAAGACTGGATTCGAGATAAACTGGAGGGCAACATGAGGAATCGCCTCACGTAGTGAAAAGACACAAAGAAATTGCGGATTAGGGAGGCCATTGACATAGTTTTGGGAAAAAATGAATGAACTGAAGAGTGAAAGAAGGCAGA